AGACATTAGAAAAATTTGGGCAAACCATGGGCTGTAATTCTAGGGCCCAAACGACAACCTACTTCATTTTGGGGGAGAAAAAACAGTGGTTTTGAACACTATTGCCATATAATACTGAAGACAGATGCTAACAAATACAAGGTACAGCCATTCAAGGTATTGAAAGCCCATCAGTACCTGGGAGAATAGTTGAGCCTGAAAATTTTCCCAGTCCTGCTGAAAGGAATTTTCCATTACTTTCTGATGTATTACTCTTTGCAAAGCAAACATGTTTCTTATTAGCATGCAAGGATATTTGGGATAACAATTGAGGGGAAAACCCTGCACTGAAAAAATATAATCCTTACAGGGCACCAGCTGTAACCAGTCCCCTTACAACTGGGGAAGGGTGCTGAGGGTAGTAATGAGTCTAAAACAACCCAGATATTTTAGTGACTATTGATGATTTGTGCTTATCAATCCTTCTACTGTAGAACAAATTGCTTAAAATCAAACGAAATCATTTTTGGGGAGGAAGATCTAGCTCTGAGGGCAGGTTGAGGCAAAACAACAGATGGCTACAGTCTATATTTTAACAAAGGAACTCAATGTAGTCACAAGTCATTTCCTCTGGCCTCTCAGCCCCCTCCTCTGAGCAGAGGCCACCTCAGGAGGCCACCTTTCCCAGGCAAAGCTGGCTAATATAAGGGAGCTGCGTTTCTCAGGCTTTTTTACAGTAATTTGTGCTTTGTCACTGGATGAGGGACTATTGATCCCTGTCCTTAAACTCACAATTCTGGCCTTTAGTGAAAAGCGTCATTCATTCTGACCAGGTAGACTGCCTCACACCATCTTTTTTTTTTTTTTTTTTTTTTTTTTTTTTTTTTTTTTTTCTTTCTTTTTTTTTTTTTTTCCCTCCTTCCTTATTCTCTACAGTCTCTTGGCTTACAGCTTCTTCATATTAATGCTTATAGCAGGCAAAATAATCATTTCAGCCACTAACTAGCCACTGGGGACTCTTGTGGCTGCTTTTGGTCACACATATATCTTAGGAACATTAATTGCCATAACTGGGGTTTTTTGCTTCTTCTCTTACAACACAATTTATAAGCAGCATCCTTTAATTTAATACACAGTGGTGCTTGCTGATGCTCCTGCATTTTCAGCTTCAGGAGATAAAAACCGAGGGTCTGTCTGGCTCTGTCCTTATTGCACTTCAGCGGTACTTTGACAGCTCAAGTTGCTGAAGCTGCTTGATACAATGGCATTTCCAAATACTTCAGATTTATCCTCATGACTTTGTCACCTACCACAACCACTCCCAGCCCTTTGTCTGCTGGGACAGTTCAGCACCTCGGCCCTTGGGGTGCTGAGGCTCAGGGACACCCAGGCCCTGCTGCACAGGCTGTTCGGAGGGATGAGGGCAGGGCCTGGGCAGACGCTGGAATGCGATGGGTGACACACAGCTCCTGTTAGCAGAGCTCAAAAGGCCGGGCTGGGCTCCTCGGGTGCCACACGTACACGGCATTCCTGGTCCCCGGTACGTGCCCGCTGTCAGCCCCGGCCAGCGGCCGCCTCCTCCCAGGCACTCCTGGCTGCCTTTGTTCGGGCTGTGCTGATGGCGAGGAGCATTCTTTGCAGGCTGAAATGCCAGACAACAAGAATGATCCATCCGGGGAAGATGTGTGCATTTTCACTCTTTCTCTCTTTCCCATTAAATCCCACTGCAGCAAAGGAGGAAACAATGCCGTTCATTAACACTGATGGCACCGCTTTGCTCCTAAGACAGATTCGTGGTTAAGTACACATATTCGTGGTTAAGACACATATTTGTCTGCTGGAAAAGAGGACATTGTTTTGCCAGAGCTAAGTCAGATTCTGAGGATCTATGCTTTTAAATGCCATAGGACTGATTGATATCTATTACAGGGGTGCCAGAATCGTCAGGGCACAGACAGATAATGGTGTTTATAATCAGTCATCAAGATGTTATAAAAGGCTCAGTGAAACAAGCAGGATGCAGAACTAGAGGAGCTGGCAGCAAGGCAAATATTTGGCCCTTCAGGCTTTCCACTGCCAGCCAAATAGCATCATTATGTGAAGTTATCCTTCTTATCATTATCCTCCAAAAAATCACTGTGCTGCCTGGAACCTATATGTGAATTAGGCCAACATTCCAATAATTTCTGCACTTATATGGAAATGATTACCCCATACCTATAGGTACAACTACAGGCAAATCAGAATCACAGTAAGCATTAAGAATTCACTATCAACTAGACCCCTCTGTCCAGTTTACTCACAGTGTCCTACAGCTTTTTGTTAGTAAACAAAACCCTGTACAAGAAGAAAAAAACAAGAAACCAATTTTCTTTTTGTTTGCATGCCCTCTAACTGATAGATCAATATCAGAGATTAAAATATTGGGTGTAACATTCATGGTCATACTTAGCTTTTCTGTCTGTCTGGTTGCTCAAAGATGATTTTATTGCTCTCTTCAAAGTGATCCTGTAATTCCTGGCTACACCACCCACAAAAGAAATAGTAGTGTAAAGATAAGAGTTTTCAGTATGCATCAACCTTGTCAGTTTCTTCACAGAATCATAGCATTGCTGAGGATACAAAGGGCCTCTGGAGATCATATTGTCCAAACTCACCCCTGCTCAAAGTGGGATAAACTACAACAGGTTGTTCATGCTGTTTCTCATCAAATTTTCACTGTCTCCAAGCATGGGGACCCCCAACAACCTCTTCTGCCAACTTGTTCTAGTATTTGATTGTACTCACAGTAAAAAAAGAGTGTTTATTCTTGGTATTTTTCATGTGTTCAAATGGAATTACCTACATTGCAACTTGTGACCTTGACTCTTGTCCTGTCACTGGACACCAGTGAAAAGAGTCTCTCTGCATCTTCTTTTGTCCTCTCCCAGGTCAGGTATCTGTACACGTTGATGTAAACAGTTCCAGCTCTCTCAGACTCTCCTCTTACAGAAGATGCACCAGTTCCTTAAATGTCTTCATGGCCATTTAGCTGCACACTTTCCAGAATCTCCATATCTTTCTTTCCCTGGGGAGTCCAGCAACAGACACAGCATTCCAGAAGTGTCCTCACTGGTGCTGAGTTGAAAGGAAGGATCACCCTCCTTTGACTTGCTGGCATTGCTTAACGCAGCACAAGGCACTGTTGTCCTTCTCTGCTGCAAGATCACACTGCTGGCTCATGTCCAACTTGGCACCCACCAGGACACCCAGGTCCTTTTCTGGAAAGCCCCTTTACAGATTGTCAGCCTTCACCCCTGCACTGCAAGGCGTTGTTCTTCCTCAGGTGCCATTTCTCCTTGTTGAATTTCAGGAGGTTCCTGTTAGCCCAGCATTTCTCCAGCATTTCTCTCAGCATCCCTCTGAATGTCGGCACAACTGCCTTGTGTATCAATCACTACTCCAAGTTTTGTTTCATCTACAAACCTGCTGAGGCCATGCTCAAGGTCATTTATGAAGGTGCTAAACTCTGTCAGCCTCAGAACCAGTCCCAGTCACCACTAGTTACTGACTTCCAGCTGAACTTCATTTTCCAGTTCATATCCTGTTATGCCTGGTGCTTCAGCCAGTTTTCAGACACTGGTTCTGTTGTTTTCTCTTTGCCAGCAGGATGGCAGCCTTCCCTTGACAAGCTGCTAGACTTATTTGACTGCACCATCAGAATGGGATGGATACTAGTTAAAACTTAGCTTAATATTTTGATTTAAACAAGGATCAATCTGACCCTGCAAATATGAAGCTCTCTGAGATTTTCAGGGCTACAAATTATATGGTTCTGTTTCCAGATTTTTGGATGCCTTGTCCCCATGGAAGTCCCTTAAAGTTGTGTCTACTACTTGAAAAAAAAAAGTAGTAGGACAAGCAGTGTGCTTATAGGGTCATGACATTATCACTGCCAATGCCAGACTTTCAGTCCATCTAGAGACACAAAAAAACCCGACAGTTAAAAGTAACATTTAAGCCACACCAAATCTTGAAAGTGAACACAAAAAACAAGCCCTGGAGAGTCTGTCTGGTTGGTGAATTCCTTCTGTCTGGAAGTGATGAAATACATGGTAGTTAATAAGGGCTGTCTTTGAGTAATGCTGGTATGAGGATTTGAGTGCAATAGTTAACCATCAAACCAAAACCATCAGCTGCTAAAGTATGGAATGATCCCACTTCTTTTGCCTAATTTTAGATGTTGCCTGGAATATAATTAGCATATTTGAAACTTGGGATAAATCCAAACAGAAAATATGGCAGTAAACAGAAAGGTTTGGTCCAAGTTTTAGGAGGTAACATCAACAACAACTTTTTGAACATATTTAGGACCTTCCTGGATGACACTATAGAAAGACAAATAGTACAGGTATTCTGCTAAACTAAACATTTATATTTTCAGCAGTTTTCATGAACCTTAAATACAAGGTATCGAACTCTCCAGGAAACAAAAGTAAAGGAAGGTATTTGACTTCTTGCTTGGCAGTGTTTGCCTCAAAGGCTACACAGAATGAAGGTGTTGACTGTCTCTCCCTTTCTTCTTCCTCTGTTCTCTCCCTTCATTCTGTATATTTTTCTAGGTATCCATTTACTGCACTTTGGCTTCACTCTCTTTCTCATACTGGTTCTTTGTGCCTGCCACGACAGTCAGTTCTCTGATCTTCATTTCTCAGTCTTGTGGAGTATTATGAAAATCAGTGATTGATAAAACAGTTGGGTGTTTGTGATTATGGAGCCAACACTCATCAAGGGACTTGGGTGACAGCACTAGATGCCAATGAAGGGCTTATATTTCCATGATAACTTTGCTCTTCTTTCCTCCCCTCTGCTCCTCTACAGAAATGGAGACCTCTCAGAAGAGACAGTGGGCAGGCAAATAAAATTGATTCAAACCATCCAGGCAGCCAATCCCTTGTTTGAGACAACCACTTGATTAGGTGAGAGCCTGTCCTTTAAATACATTTTCCAGGCAGGTTCCTGGGCTAGAATGAGCAGGAAGATCAGAGAAGGGTGCTGTAGTAAGAGTGCTGTGCTGAGCAATTTCATGGAGGTGAAGGTGGAAGATGAAATCCAGCTTACTCCCCCAGGCTCTGAGGTCTGATGGGAATCTTGTTGTCAGTAATCACGATGAGCCTACATGTGGAGCTGGTGCCACATGGCTATCTGTTTCCTGGGGTTCCTCAGCATTTCTTCCCAGTGGTTCCTCTCTGTGCCTGTGACGTGTAAGCCCAGACTGCACTTGCCAAGCACATGGCTCTGGCCAGCTCCATCCTGGCTCAGCATTTCTAGCTCCACGCTGGAGGCACGCAGGAGCTCATGAGGCACCTCAAACATGATCATCTCGTTCCACACAGGGTTGATCTTGTGTTTTGCACGTTTGGTCTGCTTCTTCTTCAGCTTCAGTGACTGATGCCTCAGTGTCACCTTGACAGAAACATCTGTATAAGGAGGGGAGAGATACACCATGTTAATGAGCATGCCACAAATAGACTAGACTAGACTAGAATAGGCTGAGTTGGAGGGGACCCATCAGGATCATGGAGTGCAACTCCTGGCCCTGCACAGGACACCCCAAAAATCATGCCATGTGCCCAAGAGCATTGTCCAAATGCTTTTTGAACTTAGTCAGGCTGGTGCTGTGACCAACCTAAGTCTCCCTTGACTTAACTTCATGCTGTGTCCTCAGGTCCTGTCCCTGTCCACGAGAGAGAGGAGATCAGTGCCTGCCATTTCACTTCCCCTTGTGAGGATGTTGAACGCCATGAAAAGGGGCTCCCCTCCCTCTTCTCCAGGCTGAACAGAGCAAGTGACCTCAGCCACTCTTCATAAGGCTTCCACTCCAGGCCCTTCACCATCCTGATGGCCCTCCTTTGGACGCTCTCTAATATCTTATTTTTCATATATATATTGTGATATCTGAATCTGCGCCCAAAAATGCAAGAGAATTTACACTGGTGATATCAAACTGAGACAGCACAGTAGAAATATTGGTCAGGGGGCATTTGATTTTCACTTTTTAGAAATTATTCAGATCTCTTTGGCTTTCTAAGCCAGACTTTTTTTTTTTTTTTCCTGCCAGACTTCACCCTTCCCACTTTCTTTCTAGATTTACATAATAGCAGAAACAATAATATCTGTTTCCTTGCTATAACACTCACCACTTCCTAGTAGATCTTTCAGCTGCTTGGAATGGAGGTTTTTAGCCTTAATAATCACCACCAGCAGGCGATTGGCTGCTGGCAGGTAGCTAATAGAGAGCAGAACCTCCCCATGGCCCGTGGATGGCTCCTGGAAATGGAGACACAGAAAGGGTTAATTTTTTGTATAATCTTGGTCAGATTAGGAAAACAACAGTAGAAGATGGCAGAACGTAGAAGGTCATGGACCAACCAAGTTGTCTCTCTGTGCAGGAGATCTTTCCTGTTACGCTGGATGAGAATAAACCTGGCAAAGATGCCTGAGGCTCATAAGGCTCCCATAATGTGAGTTACTGAATCCTCATGGCACTGGAAAGTAACTGCTTCCTGACACCAACTTTTAGTCCAATATTTAATCAGAAGAAGATCTGGCTCTGACATGGAGTGCAAATAGTCAGAAATTCCTATTTTGAGAGACCACCTAACTGTCCTGTATTTATGTCCACTATCCCCTTTAATGCTTTTTGTAATTCAGTTTTGGTTCCAGGTGCTCCATTTCCCAGAAGGCTCTGACTGGACTCAGCTTCCAGCCTGCATTGCCCAGCAGGAGTGTAGGGCTCCTTGGGAAAGCAGAGACGGTGCTTGGGGCTGAGTCTGACCTGGAGCTGGACTACGCCTTCCCTGACACCCTATTTGGTATGAGAAAAAACCCAGCCAAGCTGAAATCCTCCACGAGCTGGGCACAATACATTAGTCTTCCTTCCCACCTGCCTTCCATCAGGCCTGTGAGCAGCTCTCCCTGCATCCCCTGTGGGAGACTCCCTTTCCCTTTCCCTTTCCCTTTCCCTTTCCCTTTCCCTTTCCCTTTCTTCCATTTGCCCTGGACAAGCAGCCCTTGGGGGGAAAGCCTAGGGACACAGTCACACCACCACTGCTCTCCTGTAAGAGAGTAATGCCATTTCCTACTCGGGAGCCAGCAGGGAAGGAGAGAAATCCCACACCGTTGTGTGCAGAGCTGACAGCCCATGGCAAGGAACAAAAGGGGAGTAGTTATTCTTTCAGTGAGTGGGAGCTTGTGACAGAAATCTGGTTTAGTGTGAGGTTAATGACCCAGAAGAGTCCCCAGAAAGCCAATGCCAATTCAACAGACTCATTCTGGGCTCCTTAGCACGTTCTACGTCCTCGAGGATAGACAGCCCTTCTCTCCAGGCTATTTCTGTGCTCTGCAGTGTTGCTACTAAGTGAGCCATAAATATTTCAAATTAAGTTTTCAACCAGTTTCTCAAAACAGGCAAGGACAGGCCGTGTAAACTCTCCACGAGCTGATTGACTCTCCAGAAAACATGGCTGTCATCACTGTCTGGTTCAAATGACTAATTTGTCCTGCACAAATCAGGTGGAAGGGCATTAGCAAGGAAGCCTGAAATTCAATCCCAAGTCAGCCCAAGTAAATCTTTTTTTTCATGCACTCAGGTAGCAATGAAGGGCTTGTATGCTTTTCACTTATATGAATTCTGTCTTAAATTGAAATGCACCATAGAAAAGCCCACACATAAAAAGAGGCAGTTTCAAATGCTTGTATGCCCACCACAAAAGAATTGTACACTCAGGGACAAACCCAAACACCACCTCAATGCAAACCCAGCGTTTAGGCATGTCATAAGCCGCTTTTGTTTATTTACTCCCACCACATCTCAGCAGGTCCCATTCTATAGCTCTTGGCTAGAATTTGGTTCCTGTAGCTTCAGGCACAGACAGATGCAGTGGATTGGGAGGGGGTGGGGCTCTGTAGACGTGCACACACACAAACACACACATTGTACTCGGATCACTCTTGTACTTATGACTTTCTAGCTCCTAGTGTGCTGATCAAGTTTTTTGCCAGCCTGTATCCACCTGAAAACAAAACCTGCAATGGTTGGTCTCTGCTGGAGTTTTGCTTGAACAGACCAAACCAGAAGTACTTTTCCTTCCCCTTCTGGGCTTTGTTTTCTTTGTTTCTTTTTTCCTATTTAGTCCATAACCTACATTTTGTGCTGAAATCCTGCAAATTCATGCAACCATGAGAGCTTCAGTCTTTCTTTCTATGCAAAATGAATAAAAAGCAACAAGGGGTCATCAATGATTTACGTGCAGGGCACCACGAAATCACAAAAGGGAAGTTGCTATGCAAGGACACACTATCATCAACCCACTATCATTACTGTCATTAGCAAAGCAGTAGGAGGGAAGGAAGACAAGATAAGGCTATCAGTCTCCAGTATCTAGGCTTTGCATTGCTCACAGGACTCAATGAATTCCTGAATGCTAATTGCATTACCTGGTTAGCTGTAAGCTCCACTCTGGGCTCCTTCCCTTCTGTGTGGGAGAATTACTGGGAAGGTAAGAACGAATTTTCTGCCCTTTCCGGCATTTCAGGGAAATGTCACACTTTTGACAAAGCTCAGTAACTTTGTTCCTGGATGAATGTTGTCAAAAATAGCTCCTCTTTTTTGATCATCTCTTCCTCACTCCCTCCCTCTCTGGTTCTCAATGAATGATTCAGGATCTGTATACATAAGCTATCTGTGCAATGGTTGGCTCTCTCAGGTCCCAGATGACGCAAATTCAGCTTTCACTGCACATCCTCAGCTCAAACTGGGGCACTGTTCAGCAGTACTGCTGGTGTTAACCTTGTGCTGTCAGCCTGGAGAAGAAATGAATGCTGTCCTGTTTCTGTGTGTGGTTGTAAAGCTGGACCAAGGCAGAATTCCCTGTATATCAGGACTCCATCAGGTGCACTGGAATAACAACTTATCATTGGTGTGAACAGACTGTTCCTTGTGTATTGCTGAAAAAGCAGATGCTTCAGTATGGGGTGAGAGGGAGAGGGTTACAGCCATTAGACAAGTACTGAGTCTCATGCCTGAAGTTTATTAAACTCATTCAGATCACCCGCTTGTTTCTGCTGCCTCTCTCCCTGACAGATGTTTTTTTTAGTGTGGACAGTCCTGTTAGTATTCAAGTGGTTATCAGATAAATCAGCACTATTGGAAATCAGAAATGCTAACTCTGTACTCTGTGTCTGTGGCCAGCTCAGAGGAGAGCCCTCATCCCTGATGGTGACAGGTAATAATTTGTTTCATTGTGCTTAGTGGTGGTGCTAGTGTTGTTTTGCATTGCTCAGCCGTACCACAGCAGACTACAAGAGGTACCACTTGTTGTGATGAATGAACAGCAGCGGTAGCAGCATCCTGCTGCCATGCTAAGTGAATTGCTGCTGCTAGAAGTACAGCCTAGCTCATGGCAGGAAAAAGGTTCCTGAGGAAATGTGCAAGAAATTAGTGCACATGAAGCATCCCCTGTACCCACTTCAAGAACTGTTGGAATTCTTCCCTGTCTGTGCAACTGTCAAAATGTGGATAAGGAAAGAAAGGAAGGTTTTGATGTTTAAGAAAACCAAGACAATGCAATGAATGATATTTTGATATCTCCCAGAACAAATAGCACTGGACTGATTTCAGTAAGTGTAAGTGTCCTTCAGTCCAGCATTCCAGTCCCAACAATGTACTTCACTACTAGATTAAGGCTCCCTGGGGTATCACCGCGTGCCTTACCACACCCAACCTTGCAGACTCCTTCCACTGGGCTCTGCAGGTACTCTGATATTTCAGCTCTTGCCACTCTGGTCCTGTATCAATAATTCTCAGAAGCTCACACACCTTTTTCTAGACATAGCATTTGAATTACAGATGTCATTTGATTACAGCCAGTGTCAGATTGTCGTGTAACTGGGGAGGAGTTGAGGGAGTTGTGACACATTAACTGGGAGCATTAGACAGAAGGGCTTCTGATATGACGAGCTACAGACCAGCACAGAGCTGTGCCGAGTGATCTCTGCAGTCACACATCACGCCTCTAAACCTGCTCCAAACAAATAAAGCCACCCACCCACATGCACCTCTCTAGGAAAAGGGTTTCTCTTGTCCAAACTCGTAATCATTAGGGTTTCTGAACTACCGACACAGACAGAGTCCATACCTTCTCTGGGCTCTTCAGCCTTTCCCACTGGGCCTTCCCAAAGGATTCCTCCATTTCAGCAAGGTTCAGTTTCAGTTCCCCCACAATGCTGTGCCTGGAGAACTTGTCACAGTTTCTCAGGGTGAGAGTCAGTGTTCCTCCTGGCATCTCCTCCTCTGTTAATGGGAATTGCAGCACCTCCTCCCAAAGGGTGTGAAGTACCTTCTTCTTCAGCTCTGTCTGGGCCTCAGCAATGCCAGACTTGCTCTCCAGTGTGCCCAGTATGTAGCAATGGCAGCCAGTGTCTTGGTCCCCACTCATTCCGCCATGCATAGCTGGAAAAGATGGATGGTAATGACCTCTCACAAAAGACAGCCCTGAAATATCTGTGGCTAAATTGCTTGTTTCATGACAGCAATAAAATAAAACAGCTGCATAGACATTGACCCCTGTTCCTGCCTGTGTGGGGGCTGATTAAGCTGTGAGCCCATGCTGTGGTGTTTTCCTCAGGCTGCACATTGTCCCTGTCCTTGTGCCACTGCAGAAGGATGCTGCCAGTGTTTGGGAGAGCAACAGCTGAGTTCAAGAAAACACATTCTGTAGAAAGACGTAGAACACCACTGAAATGAGGCATCATGAAACAGGGATTGGCATTTCTTATTTACTTTTACCTTGGCACACAAATAAAAGCTTCTTACAATGACTTTAAAAACAGGAAAGTCAGTCACAGACATCAGAGATGTGATAGAGCTTCCCTTGGCATACATCCATCCCTCCATGCCAATATCTAAGGGTCATTGCATTCTGCTGGTCCCACCTCTGGTAAATGAATCCATCAGAAGCCACCCCACAGCCCAAAAGACCTGCATCAAGAGACATTTATGCCTAATTTTATATCCCTTTTATGTTGAAAAGTCTAGAGTGAGAATAGCATTTCACACTCCTCTGCAGTTGCAGCAACAGAGCTGCACTGCCTTCTCTGGCAGCAAGAGGAACGCCCCCTCCTCCAAGGGGTCACTGAATCTCACAGCTTTGAGGGGAAAACTGTTGTCCTTGCTGCAGAGAGTCCAAGGACAGCTGCTCCTGAACTGCCAGGACCTGTGGGTCACAGGGCTCTCTTGGCTTCTCAGGGGAGCAGCACTGGCAAGCAGAGCCAGGTCCTGTGCACAGAAGTGCCAGGGTGGCAGCCAGCCGGCGTGGGTGTCCATCCTGAGGGGAATGGTGGGCTTGCTGCTGGCAGGAGACCTGCACCAGTGGCTGCCATTCAGCACCTTTTCAATTCTCGCCTCAGAGGGTGTGATTTGATTAGGTTTCCACAGAGATCTACACTGTGCATGAATTATTCAGTCAGCTTATTTTACTCTCCCAGAGGAACTGATGATGCTCCAGCCCTGAGTGGAGAAGCTGTTGCAGTTGTCAGAATGACACAGAGCCTGGCTGCCTGGCCAGGCGCTGCCAGAGGGACTTAAAATATGTCTGGTCTCTCCAGCTCAGGCTTTGACTTGACTTGAGGGAAGGGCAGTAGGGGGTGGATCAGGTTGAAGAATGAAAGATATGGAGAGGAAGGAGATAGTAACCCCATTCCTCTTGCCCCTAAAGGAAAAAATAAAAAGAAGAGGTTGCTTTGTACCAAGTCTTGGACTGGAGGAACCCATCCTGGTTCCGGACAAAGCTGTGCAAACAACTGTTCCCAAGCTAGGCCCTCTCTTCAAGCAGTGACATTGACAGCTATTCCTGTTCTGCAAGCCCAGTGCCAGTGAAACACCCAGTGGTCCTGAGGGCGCCTGTTGGCCTTAAGATAGGAGGGGAGCTGTCTCTAAGTGCAATCGCCCTGTGTGCTGCCCGCTCAGCCGGGGCCCAGTGCCCTTACCTTGGAGGAGGGCCACGCGCAGCTGGGCGCGCTGTGGGTCGTGGAGCAGGGAGTAGTGCAGCTCGGGGGCCTGCTGCCCGCTGCCTGCCCGCTCGGGCTTCAGGTGCTCCGTGACACACACGTCCTTGACCACACCTGGAACTGAAATAGCCCCTTTAGCAAGCAGCTCTTCTCCTTCCCAAGACAGCAAATCCACTTTCTCTTGACTTGACTTTTTCTAAATATCTTGCTTTTTCTGCACTTTGTAGGCAGGACTATAATTTATTTTCCTTCTTCATCCATCATCGTACATCCTTTTTGTTCTGTTTACTTGCACTTTCAGCTCTTTCTATAGCATTTGGACAAGACTTCTGCTCTCTACCACCTTGTGCTCCATGATGGTTCACACACTTGCTCTTTTACCTTATGACTAGACCACGGTGTCTGAATGACACTCATTACTTGCTATATTGTTTTATATTCTTTTAACTGGCATTATTAAACTAAATCTTATGTTCTCTGCAATGAGAATGTGAGTCTGCTCTTGAGCTGCTGTGCAACTCTGCATTAGGTAAGACCTCTCTAAACATTTTGTTTTGTTTTTCTTTTAATTTTAACAATGAAGTCTTTGTCATGCAAAAGACATCCATTTCCATAGCACCTGATCAGGTTGAAGGCAATGAACTTTGGAATCCATAAGGCAGTTTCTCCATGCATGATTTTGGAGCTGAATATGTATTTCATACTGAAATAAAGCAAGTTGCAAGACTAAAAGAAAAGCCAGAGATTTTTGTCATCCAGAGCTGTTATCTGCAAGGTCAGTTTCGATTCACACAGAAAACAATAGTGGGCCAGCACACTTCCTCTAAAAATCTCAGCCACAGTTCAGACCAGTTCATTGTGGCATCAAAAGGAGAACGCAATAATTCTTGCTTAATTTTAGCAACACTTGAGCTATATATTCAGGCAGAGCAGGAAGGAAACTTGCTTGTGCCATTAGCAGTGCAGAGAGGCTCTTACACCAACACTTATATAAAGCTTTAGCCTAAATGCGGCCATCACCTTTCATCCTTTCCACCCTGATAATCTTTTCCCTGACACCTAAGGATGTGGCTCAGACAGTCTGTTCCTCCAATGCATCTGAATCCCATGGTATTTTCTTTTCCTTACTCACAAGCCTCAGGTTGGAGGGGTGAAGGTAGCAATTGTCCTTCCAGAAGAGCAAAAATAGAATCTCAAAAAATTAAAAATAACTAAAAAGAATACTCAGTAAAAATAGCGGCAGATGGCATTGTCTTTCTGGCAAATCTTCAGGAAGGTTTTATTACAGTGGTAACCATAAGAGTAAATTACTCTGTTAAAATATGGCTGTGAAGTTAAAAATCAGTGTGGAAGAAACCCAGACATGTTGCCAGATGCATATAATTAAGACTGCATTTTCTCTCAGGCTCTAGAAATCTTATGTTTCAGGATTTGGAGTGTTACCCTTGGGGCTGGCTGGGAAACAGGAATTCTGTTTGGCAAAAACCTTTGAGGTGTCAGCCTTCAATTTCACTGCACATTTCAATAAGCCAAGAACATCTTACCAAACCATGGCAATAAAGGAGGAGAGAAAATTAGAAGCTTTGAGCCCCACTGTCGCTGACAAGGACAGTTGTTGGACAGATAGCATTTGACCTGGAGGAGATACTCTGCCTAATTTTGGCCAAATATTTCACACATACTCTGGCTACTGCTCTCAGCACAACTACACTAAAAGTGCTTTTCTACAAAATATCTGCTACCAGGGAGACAGATTCTTCAAAACAAAAAATGTTTAGGTAAAAAAAAAATGCAACAAGATACAGCTACACCTTTGTTATCAGAATGTCCTTATGAGCTCCATGACTCCTTCTACTAAACAAATGTGTTGAAAGCAAAACTCAGAGTGCTCATGATAAGAAAGCGAAAAGCATCCAATAAATTCCACATTTATTTATCTGACAATGATCACATTATGCTTAGAAGTATTACTGATCCACACCCACTAAAACGATTGCTAGTTTGAAGACCAAAATCTCCTACCGTTTTGAGGGAGAACAAACAGCTCCTCATTGACTTGTATCTTCATCCTATTCTCATCCAACGCAGTGTGTTTTCCAGGAGCTGCTTCTTCTGTTGTCTTCAGAGAGTACTGTGTGTAGTTAACAATTTCAGGTGAAGTTACTTCTGGTTTGGGGCCATAAATGTTGGGAAACTTCAGAAGTGCTCGAGGCTGGACTGGCTCTGCAGTTTTCTTAATGTTGAACTGAAAATTAAAGTTTTGTTTATTACTTTGCACAAATTACATTAACTCCTCCAATTCTCTTAATGTTAGATGACCTGAGACAGGAAAAGAGCAGGGCCTCTAGTCAGTCCTACCATCATTTTTTTCTTGGCTTGTAGAAACCACTGCCTGTAAGTCTGGAGACTTTCTTGCTAACACTGATACCTTGTACTTGGTGTGTTTCTTTTCAGATTTATTCCTCTACAGATGTTTGATTACTATAAGAAAAAGATATGTTCTTATCATTTCATTTTTCCTCTGATTTGGTACCAGTTAATATTTTCATAAGTTAATCCTTTCATTTTAGTAAAGAAATTAACCACAAAGTTAATTTTGCTTTGATTAAGATATGGCAATTTTTACTTTGATGTTTGAAGTCAAATCCAAGAGCAAGAGATCTCACAGAATCCAGAATATTTTATGTGAGTATATAGTAATCATTAAGAGTGCAAAGACATAAATCAAACATGGAGCAAGTATGACCATGATGCAATAAGACTAAGGAGAGCTGGTTGAACAAATGAGCCCTGGACTGGCAAACCAAGAAGAGTTGTTGGTCATCTCAGCCTCTAGGTTCTGCGGACCAGAGCTCCATCTGACCATCAGACACACATTTCCCCTTTATTATACCAGGACTGAAACTTGGATTTATGTCTGATTTGTTCTTAACACTTCAATTCCCTGCTGAATCATGAACATGGGATGAGCAGAAGAACCTGCAAGATGCTCAGGTAGTCTGAGCAAAGGCTACCAGAAAAGGCATTACTGTTCTCCCAAAACAAAAAAAAAAATATTTTAATGGAATAGAACAGTTCTCTTCTGCTTATGTCCCAAGAAAGCATCCCGCCTTCTTATAAATGAATCATTCCTGATTCATTTATATTTGGATTCATTGATGGGGAAGAACAAAAGCTGACTAGCAAGTGACCCCAACCCTTGCAACAGATTTTATTAATGTTTCCAAAACACGGAAGACAAAAACCACAACTAAAACAGCCATTTTGGTTGATTATTGTGCAGTGGGATTATCTTCAACCTACTGCCTGCTAACCTATTTTTGGTCAAGACTGAAGGCAAGGCAGAAAATGTTCATAACTGTAATTAAAAATTTTAATTAGTCTTATTGTTTCCTATTAATAATGAATGTCGATGGTGCCCTGAATCTCTTGTCTGTGTTGGGATTTCCTGGTCCCAGTTTGCGTGTCCAGAGGAAGCACACCTACCTCTCAAGAAATAGAGCTGAAGAAAGAGGGCTGTCTTGGATGTTAGCCTAGTCATATTCAGCTTGTGGAGATCCTGGTTTCATACAATTGGCAGTGGTAATGAACTAATTAGGTCAGTGACTCCATCTTCTCAAGGCAGACAGTGCACCAGTGTTTAGGAAGGCTACTGTGCAACATAGCATTTTGTCTTGTCTAATTTTAAGGGCCTTGAAAGAGAAGTGGGCTGAGAGAGAAAAACGTCATTGTGTGCCATCCTCACCTAGCATTCAGTCGAGTTTCGATACTATGTAAATTACACAGTGTGCGGCCGTAACTGAGATGCCTCTGATAGAGATGCGAGCCTCATCAGTCCTAAAATACCTAGGAAATGTGAAGTTACTCATCCAAACTTTAAATGTAGTTTTCCATTCTTCTAAAATTAAAGCAGAATACGTGAGGAATCACTGACAGCAGCTAGAAAAGGCAGGTTGCTTTTGTTGTGCAGAGGCATTACATCTAGCACACACAGTGGTGGTCAGCCTCTGCTGTCCTCTCTCGTGCAGCTGCTGTGTCAGGCTGCTGTCCTGCCACTCACTGGAGCCTCCTGCCTGGATTGCTCTGTGCTGCCAACACACAAAGCACTTCCAGATCCTTTGGGATGAAAAACACCACACAAATTTGAGGTATTGTTAGTACAGTCTTTTCTTCCTCTTGCTAAGTACCTTGCCAGGTATTTAGTCAGAAAATCAATCAGCACACAGCATCAAAGACTCCATTGGGTCTAAATATTCCTCTTGTCTGTCTGCTCTGCAGAATTAGAGACGAGAGACATATGCAAGCACAGTGGGACTAGCCCACCCCCTCTTCCAACTGCACCTGCCTCTGTTTATTATGTTGCTGCCAGCTCTTTTCCCAAGTGCTGTGTGCTAATCCAGTTACATAGCAGTGCCCTGTGGAAGTTTCCTTTGCAACTCAGCAGTTGTGTCTTAAATAAAGACACGAGAAGAGTTCAGAGAGCTCTGCAAAAATGCATAAAAGTAAGTAAACTAAAAGGAGCAAGGAGGCTGCAAATGATCCTTCTGTGTCCCTGCCCAGTGTCACTCAAACCACCAGACTGCTGCCATTTTTGGATGTGTTTAGGAATCTTCGTTCTGCAGGTTTTGCTGAGACTTTGCAAATTTGCAGCATTTTCTCATTGTTTTGTAGATGTATGTTTGTGTTTGAACTTCTCCTCTTCATGGATGCAGGGCATGTCCATGGGGAGCCTCTGTCTATAGCAAATACAAGCATCACTGTCATGGGAGACATGCCAAGTGAATAAAATGCAGACTTGCTGCATCTTTCTTTTGTCATCTGTGTTTATCAGAATCAGTGTCCCTGACAGGTTTCAATAATTAAATGTGTCCAACACTGACTAGGACATACTATGTACTAATATAGTCAGAAAAAAAAGTCCTGACAGAACAATTTATAAACATAGAGATAATAAAATTTCACAAGCTCACAACTCAAATTGAGATTCATTTCTTGAAGGTATAGAGACTGATTCTGATTCAGTGACAGCATAGGAGAATTCATGTTCCTGGCAAGAAAATTATTTTAATTGGAAAGAATTGCTAAACATATGGAATATGCAAACTAAGAACATTTTGCACTTTCTGTGACAGAATGTTCACTCGGCTGCTATAATGTGTCCAGATTTCTTTAAAAAAAACCCATAAACCCAGTAGCATTGGAAATAATACTTCAAATTAAAAAGTCTACAATGCTGAAAGAATGCAATCACTCAGGTAATAATGACACATTTAGGGCAGATTGAATAATTTTATCCCCTGTTGGTCAAATACTGGATTAAGTCATGGCAAAACTTATGAATGTAGACATATTTTGAGGACCATAACTGAATAGCTGCTGAGTACTGAACAATATGGAGACATAGTGCTTATTTCAGCCCTGCAAACAGGATATCACCCCCATAGACAATATCCAGGATGGATTAACACTTTCCCAAGATGTTTCCCAAAAAGCTGTATAAAAGAAAAAAAGCCCAGTTTAAGAATGGAGTTAAAAGGAGGATTTGAGATCTTTCTGGGCTTGGAGATTACAACATCAAACTGTCATAGAAAGAGCCTGATGGTAAAGTTGTCTGCGGGTTGTGTTGCTGCAGACAACAGCTAGAAAAATTGCTTTGGAAAGTGATATGGCTGTCAAAGTTACACATTTTTCATTCATGTTAACAGTAAACTTGGAAAAATCTCTGCATCATTGTACATTCTTACATACAGGTGTTAGCAAATCCCCTCTGTGGGGTAGAAAAGACAAGAAAGGAGCCTGAAAGGGACATGACTAAGCTATCAAACAGAATAGCAGATTAAATCCATCCTAGGAAAATGCAAACAGGTACTAGGAGTTATTCAACATGCTCATGGGGGGAGGCTCAGAATTAGCAGCAATCTCTTGAGAAGTCCTAAACTCCACACAGAAGTTAATCCATGGTCAGTGAATCCATCCTCCTACACCTCTCCTCCCCACTCCAGCAACCACAAGACCCATTCTCTGTATCTGCACCAGTTCCTACAATACTGTTTGTAGATTTGGTCATCTTTGCTCAGCATAAACTGCAACAAGAACATGAGGATGCCAAGAATCTTTTCTGCTAAGAGGGTAAGAGTGGAAACCAGAGAAAGACTGAATATTTAATTACAAACATTACAGAGGAGTTCAGTTAGGACTCCAGCTACACTCTTTAGGAATCCAAAAATAATAGTCAGCTCAAATACTTAAAAGGCAAACAAAGACTGTTATACAATGGAGCACAGACGTTTAGAATGGACTACTATGGCATAACACTTGGTTGAATGGTTAGGTGAAAGTGAAAAGGACACAGGCACAAACAAATATCAGGAGCAACAGCCAACAGGTAATACTTTCAGAGACTGACCAGTGCTATAGCTTATTCTAAAGACCACATTCAACTGAGGAAATCATCAAACACTTCCCCTTGAAGAAGAGATTCCCATTAATATTGGCATATTAGAAGCATTCTATAATTCCCCGAGCTCCCTCTTGCTCTGGGCTCAGGAGTAAATCAGGCTGTTTGGATTCTAACAAAAATGAAAGAGCACACAGGGATGTCTGACACTATCCATACTCCACATTGTTTTTACAGTAAGTGAAAAAGAAATTCATAGTGTGATGAGATTGTTCAGTCATCACAATCTAGATTCTCACTTGCTTTTTATTATGATTTCAATGCCTTGTTTTAACTTCACACATAATTTATCCCCTCAGTTAGAAGGGCAGAAGGAGGAGGAGGGAAGGTTTTCACAAGAAACCAGCTGTTGACAGGGAACTATCCTGCAGGAACAATGAGATATTGTGAATAGAATTAAATAGCTGCTGTACGAGATCTCAGCAGGAGCCATCTCCTCGTCACAATGCTGCGTGCCACCTGGTACAGTCAAGCCTTCTCTTCTCAGGAAATTATTTCTCTTTTGATCTATCTTAACAACTAAGCATCATTTCCAGTCCTCATCCCCGTTTCTGCCATTAGCAGCTTTCTCTCTGGCTCCAAGGCAGCTGTCTCCTGCTCCAGTAATTCTGTGGTACCCAGCTCATCTCTGTTTTTCCCTCACTCCTCCTCCCACTGGCATGTTGTTATATCCTAAACACAGTAAGCAGATAAACAGGCAGCATAAATCACATGCTGAGTAGCCTAACAGGGAAGTTGCACTCCCACCCTCCGCCTTTAAAGAAAAATCACAGAGTAAATTAGAGACTGTGTCTTACTTGCTGGACTGGCTGAAGCACACTGGGCTTAGTATTTTCCGTCTCGTCCTCTTGGTCCTTTTCTGAGAGTCCTTTCCCAGGTTGCTTGCATTTGCAGAAGCAGGTGAGGCCACAGAGGGCAAGGATGCTAGTTGCAGTCCCTAAGGTAGCCCCCAGGGCTATAACTGGAGCAGACAAAACCATTGTCCTGGGCTGCACAGGAACAGAAAGCACAGAGACCCTGTGGCTCTTTCTACTCCCTGGGAGAGCAGCTCTCCCACATCCACTCCGAATTCTAGCCTGGCTTCATTCTCCTTGGAAGTCTGAAAGCAATTCTCTTTGCAGCAAAGGGACCAATCTAGACACACAGATAAATCATCCCACCTTTGCTAGGCAACAAGACTACCTTTCTATCCTGCTGATGGAGTTGCTGCTCCAGGTCAGGGAGAGGAAATAGTAATTGTGGTGCCTGCAATCTCCATATAGCTGCAAACAGGCAGTTTTCATTGAAGCCTGTTCTCCAGCTCCACTGGGAAAAGTCTGATGTGTGATAGAGAGGAAAGACGTCAGCAGAAGGGGCTGGCCTTGCTAGCTAACTCACAGAAAGTGCATCCAAGTGTTTGATCATCTCTCTAGCAATATTTCTCGGGGTTGGCTTGCTATATGCTCAAGAGGTTGCATTTTTTGTCTTAAGGCAAAGATAGTGACTGCCAAAAGCTGCTGGCCTGACAAGCTGTGTTATGATAACATTGCACGATAACTCTGTAGTCACAGTAAAGCCTCTGTATAAGTCAGGCAAAACTTTCTCATCCTTCAGAGGCTGCAGAACAAACACAGGCAAGAATTAAGCACTGTTCCATGCCTCACCACCTGCCCCTCAAAGCACAGGGGCTGAACCTTTGGAGCTGCTTTCTGCAGGATAAATGCAGAGCAGCACCTCTCTTTAAAAAGAGAGCAGAAAATCCTACCAAATAAGATGCACTAGTGCATATGCTGCTTCCTCTGGAGAAAATGAGAAAGCAAACAACATGTGCTAGATATTAGTCATAGTGCTTACCACACTGGTGTCAGGCAGTGGGCTGCTGAGCACAGAAGAACCTGCATGAATAGACTTGAAGAGCTAGATGTCCGTCCCAGTTTTCTCTTGAGGTGATGGAGTGATTATCTTTCTCTGACTCATTTATTTTTGCCTTATTTCTCAGAATGCCCAGCTTGGGGAAGAGGATGATAAATTCTGTTTGGTGTGTTTGATAATAAATGTTTGATGTGTTTCTCATGATATGTGCTACCCTTTTCTGGGTACTTCACAAGGAGAATCTAGTGGCCAGAAGGTGATTATAATTCTGGTCACTATATCTCTCAGCCAGAGTGAAAATAGTCAGCAAAATGCAAAATATTCCAAAAATACCCAGTTCTACTGATTCTACTGGGAGTTTGTCATTCTATTTTGGAATATAGTTGATGCCCATGGATCAGGAAAACAAATTAACTATGTACAGAGAATTGCTTAGAAATTCAGGTGTTTTGATCCTTCTGTAGCTCAGGTTTTGCATAGATTTTTCTTAACTTTCTTTTTTCTTTGATGCTTCACATCTTATTCATGACAACTCACGCAGCCTTTGTTCCTTGATGACATGTTCACCTCCCTGGTACAAAACTTCCCTCGCACATCCGAGTCTCATTTTAATTGTTAGATTCCTCTGTAGCACTGTAGCATCCTAATGGCTGCAGTGCACATTCCCCTTCTCAGCCTACCTGTCTTGTCAGACATGTCTCACCCCTTGCTTCCAAGCCTCCTGACTCCCTATCAAGGATCAAATCCCAATGGACTCCTTAAGCAGAGGCAGTTCCCTAATGAACTGTTGAGCCTGTGGAAACTGGTCTTTCAGCTCAGCCCACAAAAGGAAAACCTTGAACTTTGTCCTCTGTCTATGAGAACAAAAGTTGGGTGTACCAGGCTGGACCACCGGCACACCTCACCCTGTGCTCAGCAGTGGGAAGAACATCACACAGAGGAGGCTGAGTGATCTGACTAAACAATCCCTTTGCTTCTTATTTTTTGTATCTCAGGAGATTCCAAAGCCTTGAGTAGCATCCTCTTCTGAATTGAATTACCTCTTCTGAAGTGAATTTTCTCTGCCACAAGTAGATTGTTCCAACCATTTGCCAACTTACCTAACAGCTATTTCATTCAGCCCACAGATGAACAGGTAACATTGTAATCATGGTGCCATGAGGTCTCATCTAGAGTTTAGAGATTGAACCAAGTTCTTATGGAGTTCTACCACCACTCAAGAGAAGTGAAAAGAGTCTGAAAGATGACAAAAAGATGGACACACTCTTTAGATGCCTTTGATTTCCTCCACAGGATGAGTTCTTCCTAGAAGTGCCAATGAAATCTAACACAGCCAGGTCAGAGACCCCAGAGATTTGGAAACCACATGAAAAGGAAAAAGGTTCTGTTAAGGGTAGAATACAGTGAGAGAGATTTGGAGTGGAGAAGGCATTCAGTCCATTCATGAGATGCAATATTGATGTGTTTTCCATAAGCTGTTCTGAGAATTATACAAAGACTTACAACATGCTGTAGAAGTAAGGTCACACCAAAGTATCTCTGCAAGACAATAATTTAATAGCATAATCTCTGAGATATTTTCTGCCTGCTTATATAGGCAGATTAAGTTTTCCTTGCCAAAATTGTATTTGATGTGAAATGTAATAGGCACAGAACCATTTTCAGATACCATTTTTTAATAGTAACAGCCAGGCAACAGTCTTTTGCTGCTATTGCTAGGAAAACAAAGAAGCTCTCCCCAGACATTGAACATAATCAGTATTATCAGCTTCTACAAGTGACAGGCCAAAGATTTCAGATTTTTGTGTGTGAACTGATGCATGTACAGATACATAATTTAACTGTAGCTTTGGCGTGTACTGCCACTGCATGGTTGCCTATTTTCAGCACATTCTGTTCTAAAAAAATTGGTCCAGAAATGTGTTTCAAAGTCATCTTTACGCTTGCTTGTTTCAACACCCAATAATTAAATTGCTTATTTTTCTTTAAAGCAGTAGTAGGATAAAATGGGGTCAGGTGATGACCCTTCTCACTGGCCATTCACACTGATACTGTCCAGAATCACATAGCTTTTTTATCTGTCGCATCTGCCGTAAGAAAGAGACTTGCCAAGGTAGAAAGATGAAAGCCTGTTTCTGCAATCCAGGTTTTAGGGGCAGGTTCAGGCCTGACAACATATTTCACAGTCATCCTATCCACATATTTTCTCTAGATTCTGATGTAAGGTATGTATAAGAATGACAAAAGCATATACATGGTTTTCAGCTTCTGGTATTTCAGACAGGAATACTCTGTGATGGCAAAATAGAAGGTACCAGTAAACCTTTGGTGCCTATATATTCTTTGTTCCTGCTGTGAGCTGTTCTGCTGACATTTAGGACTTTTCATTGGCTGTATAAAAGAGGCTTACTCTGAATGAAGACTTGGTAGTACAGATCACATGGAGAATTACAAGAGCTTTTTCATTGCCTAGCTGTAATTCATGCTTTAACAGGGGAAAAAAAAAAAAAAAAACCCGAAAAGAAAAAAAAAAAATAAAAAGAAGCCCTTTAATATAATTGCCAACCAGAATAAGCAGGTGGGATTTTCAACCTTTATTTTGACAATTGAAGACACAAATTAAAGTGCCAGAATCCAGAAGGAAAAGCTGATATACATCTGAATGAAAGATGTTTGCACACTACTTTCCCTGACTCAGCCTACTCCACTCCACAGGGGCTGGTATCACAGATACTCTGTTTCTCACTGAGGCATTTCACCAGGCAAGAGTGTGAGTTAACAGATGGAAATGGGAAAGTTGCTTGGGCTTTTTTTTTTTTTTTTTTTTCAGGGAAATCCTTGTGACAGTCAGATTTAGCCTGAAGGTGTAAGCTCATGTTTTCGCTTGTATTGACTTCTTATGTGATTCTGTGCTACACAAATGGAACAGTTTGAACAGAATGGTGGTCTAAAATAACTTTCCAGATCATAGCAAGGTGTTTACGTAATCCACTTTGGGCACTGAAATAGTCAGTTAGTAACAGAAGATCACATAAGGCTGCCATGCGTTTTGTATAATAAGTAAATGAAATACTGTGAAAACAAAAGTGAAGGTAAAAGGCTTGTGCTTGCAATGACTACATCTGACTCCTTATGCTTTTGTGTCCTCTTGTCTCAGGTTGTAAAATCTCTAGGAAAGAGGTTCTGTCTTCCTCCAAGTGGTGAAGTATTCCTCCCCCAGATGGTGAAGTATTAACAAACCACTGAAATAATCCTTTGCAGCACTATTAAGACAAAGCAGCTGTCTCTACATATTCCTATGCAAAAAGAAAATAAAGAAGGAAGATCTGTGAGAGGAATGTGGGCTTGGTCCCTCCATCACTGTCACTGAAACAGACCTACAGATATAAATCAAGTAAATTAAGTAATTAAGGGAAGAACAAAGACTCAGTTTCTAAAAGGAAGCTATAAGATGATCAGCCTCAACAAAATGAGCTTCAGGGTGTGGTGCTTCATCTGATGTTAATGGATGTAGAACTCCGGGAACCTCCAGACTTACAGGAGCACCTGCCAGCTGTGTGTGTAGTCTTTTGCCACATTTCTACCCTCAGGTTGATGATAAGGATTTAGCACCGTGGAGGGTCCAGCTAGTTGCATGTACGCAGTGTATAGGGTTTGTGGTTAATCGTTCTGTACTGGGACACTACACTGTCCTGAGATTAAAATCTGTGGAATTCAGGAGATCTATGGAAAAAATATACCTGTTTCAGGAGGCTGCCATGTACCCCCTGTCACCAGCAACCACTGTAAGCCTGACTGCTGTACATCTCTTGCATCCCTTGCAGCAACACTGGATGAATACTGCCAGAGGGTGGAAGACTCAGTGCTAGAAAGTAGAAAGAAGGAGCCAAAAAGCAAAAACTGGGGAGGAATAGGAAGGGTCTGTAATATGAGTATTGGGCATTGGTGTGACTGTAGCAGGATGCTATTAGATGCTACACTATAAGAAAAATAGGAAAATTAGAGAGAGTTCAGGAAAGCACCACATGAATGAAGGGGTGTGGGGCAGTGGATCAGAATGTGCCTCAGATAGAACAGTCTCTTTATCGATGAAAAGGCTAAGGGCTCTCTTGGTCAAAATCCTTAAGCACCCAGTTTTGAAATAAACCTTTGATGATAGAGGTTCTCTCCTTCTCTCCTGAGCAAACATCGTGTTACCAGGAGCTAATGGCCAGAAGCTGATGCCAGATAAACTCAGAGTGGAAACATTGCAGATTTCCAACAGCCAGCATAATTGCTGTGGGAGCAGTATCTGGGGGATTGCGCAGGGTCGTCCATCACAGGTAGTTTTGAAATCAAGATTAGTGTTGTGCAGATGGTTTTTATGGGAGTATTTTTGTTCAGTTGTGGTCTACACTGATGTCGACCCACCAGGTACACGACCACTGTGCTGTCC